GGCCAGTCCATGGCGTAAGATTAACTAATGCGCGTTGGTTGTACTTGATCTTGACGAGGATCGATGATATGCTTGATATCCAATGACCTAATTGTCGAATTATTTGGCTGGGGCTTAGTGAAATTTCACTGGCCCTACAAGACAATAAGACAAGCAGGATGAAATGAATTTATCATCTATTTTAGGGAATCTTAGTAACTATAAATTGTTTACATGATATGGTAAAACTTAAAGTTAAGAGAAGAGTTCAAATGTAAGACATTTAAATGAAAAAAAAGTAAGATGATTACCATAACTCATAATATTTATACGTGATTTCATACTTAATCGATAGTGCTATAAATTTTATTGAATGAATGAAAGTTTCTGGGTCGGTAAAAATAAAAGATTATGTTATAGTTAGCTTATTTTAGCATCATTTCTTCTTTAACAATATCAGCTTATCATTTTTTTCTTCTGTATGGATAAATTATAGTGTACACTCTTGATTGAAACAGATTCTTTGAAGTGAAATAAATCTAGTATTTTTTGTTGTGTTTTTTCATTATCTATGAAATAACTATATTGTGTCGACTGTACACCAAGGACTTGTGTATTCTACTTGTGAAGAGTTTGTTTTATTGTGAGATTTAGTTTCTAGGATTATTCCCAGAACTTCTTTTCTCAGTCCTATCTATATACTTTCTTACACAAGTACACCAAAATTTAAATTCACGTCACTTGTGGGGAGTATTTATCTATTTTCTATCGGTTTAATGAGCTTCTGGATAAAAACTTGTGCTTTTTACCCGAAATGTTGATTGTTTATGATCTCCACAACATATTTCGATAGCTTAGAGGATATGAATGCATGTATATCATATCATTATTTTCTGATGCTGGGACTGGTTGGAAAAAGCGGAGGTGGTCAATTTATGACATAGTACCGTGATATGAAAGAAAATTGTACATATCTGGCATATGTCAGACATCCATGACTCCTTGGTTAGGGTTTTAGTGTCGCACAGTGGCTTGAGATGTTATCAGAAATGACTCAGGATAAAAGCCAATGGTGGTCCTGTTGTCACCTTCATTTCATATCTTCGTATATGTAAGGGGAACTTCTTTAGCTAAAAGAATTCTTTCCGGCTGTGTCTCTTAACTGAGCCACTTCTCCCATTATTTTTTTACTCTCACTCACTTATTTTCACTTCATTATACTTACCATCTATTTCCCTATAGTTTCATTGTTCTGTTGCGTCTCAGAAATATTTCGGCACTACTTCGTACCAGTATTTATGTGTTTAAATAAATAAGACTTATTTAGTTCGGTGTATGTGGGTCCATTTGCTTTGTTCCAGTGTTCTTTGACCCAGCCTATCAAGTCCTTGCTTATCTGGAATTAATTAACATGATCGATAGCATCCGATCTGCACTAATAATAAGGACTAGACACGCATAACATTGGTCACCCAGTGATCAATCAATTGGAATTAATATTCACTTAAAACAGCATCGCAAGGACAAATTTTACTAGTTAGTAGTCCAGAAACCAAAAATATTCCTTCAGAACTAGTTCACTGACATTAAATAGTTATCAAATATCGATAAATGTATTCGGATAATTGCTTCCGAACATGTAAAACTATATTACAATGACAAGTTGCTCTTTTATGAAGTACAGGGTAATTTGCCCGGAAGTTGGATCATACCTTTTATCTGACAAAATCTTCCAAATGACACAATACATCAGTAACATATATTTATTAGTACAGGGATATTTTGTGGTATAACTGTTTTAAGAAAGGTGTTATCTGGTAATTTTCTCAAGTAGTTGATTCACTAGTGTACACATGGTTTATTACCTGGAGGAATCTATCATACTGGGAAGTAACTCCAAGAAATATCTTTTCTGCTGGGATCTCTTTGACGTTTTCAAAATTGAGGTGGCAATCGAATGTACATTAATATGTATAGCGAAAAACTAAATTGTACTAGCATCTAAGACATTAAAACTAAGTAACATCAATAAGTACATACTAGCAAATAAACATCTATTGACAGAATCACAACTGGTACAACCTACACTTTGTTCCTTTAGGATAACCAATTTTTTTTCAAATCGCAATCGTAATCAATCATCCTTACATCCAAACAGTTAGTGTTTGTTAGAAGTGTTATGGGGAGAATCAAGTCATTAATACGGTTGCAGATATTCAAACCATGTAGCGTATAGTTATAGAAAAAGTAGCACAAAACAATCAATTTCATTCGTAAAAGGTTAAATTATCTGGTTGTTGATATTTTCGACTAGATTCTATTCAGTCTTAGTTGACACATGTGCACCCAGTGCCGATTGTCTTTATATAACCATTATTTCGCAAGTTGTGAAGCGAAAGGTACTGGTTTTATGTCCCGATATGAAGATCAACACACGAATGCAGATACATTTAGCCGACGAGCCCCAAGCGGGACGAAACCCACCGGTAGCCATATTCTATTTGCTTAGCAAAGAGTATGAAGAATTTGTGATCAGGGTAAAATAGTTGGGAGTAGTGGGAACACACGGTTTACTTGGAATTCTCATCAATTTCTTACCTCAGTATGGAAATAAAAATTCGGATATTATATTATTATACATTCAGAAACCAATAAACCGACTTACGTTCCAGGAGTGCAACATCAAGAGAACAAAATTCATTTGATGAAAAACGTTTTGAAATGAAAGTCTAGGAACTTTTCGACTACCTTTGTGGGAAATCCTGTAACCTCTCAGTGTTGTTTGTCACCAAAAAGTTAACTTTCCTGAACCCTATAAATAATAATGATCAGAGTGTACTTCACTAGAGATTGTTATTTTGAAGTGGCCCTGACTCTTTAGCCAGTTGTCAAAACACCAAGTTGTTCATAGCTCCATAAAAGACGTTGCACAATAGAAACGCGAAAATATAGCTGTTCGAATACATATTCGACATCATTGAACTACCATTCGATAGCCCCTTTCCAGATTGAGAATATATAAGCTCCCAACAGTACGAGGAAATCAATATTTACAAAAGGTTACAGCCATAATTTGTTCTCTACCAACATATGACTTATGTTAAGTCACTGGTGAAATAACGTCTCAGATTATTTGATCATCCCAATCCTTTTGAAACCTCTTCATCCTAATATTTGATCCGCATCATTGACGTATAATATGAGGTCTGAATTAATTAGTAGTATGGTTAAATATAGATTAATTGGTGTAATTGATTTAAGCTACTTTAGATCTCTAGGTTCATTATTTTGAAACTACACACATAATTAGATATTCATACTAAGTTGAGCAATTTTTCCACTAACTGATATTTGCTAGAGGTACAACAAAAGCCATTAAGTGTTAAAAGGGTGTTTTTCCTAAGTGGGACTCCACAGTAACAAGCACTTGAATTATCTGCAAGGCTTGACGACACTTACGTTGGTTTTTCAAGATATCAAACCAGTTAAAGAGGAAGAATGTATTTGTAAAATCTCAGGGAAAGAATTTGAAGTATATCCAACGTTTCTCCTAGCAATCTGGTCCAAGCTTTTCTCTGGTAGACCAGAGAAACATGTACTTATTTATATTCGATGATCTTGATGTTTGATTATATTTTCCTCGAAAATGATTGGACCAGATTGCCAGGCGAAACGTTGGATTTACTTTAAATCATTTCGCTGAGATTTTAAGAATACATTCTTCCTCTTTAATGTCTCATATTAACTCGGCACCCAAACACTGTGAAACTATTCGTTCAGATTTAAACGAAGGTTCCTATTTATTAAACCAGTTGTTAAAATTTTTCCTCTGCAGTAGAATTAACGACGGTTAGGTCAGAAATCCAAGTCCTTCAGAACATCGTAATGTCTTGATCCAATTTAGACTTTTTGATATTAATTTATTTATATTTTCAACTGATCATCTATGTGAGTTTAGAAAGACAGTAGGTCAATTCTAGAAACAATTTCGAAATTTGCTAAATGCTTTGATAACCTAATGAGTAGGTAATTTAACTGATCGCTCTGTTAGGATAGTATATGCCTTTACTTTTGGATTTTCCTGTTCAATTCACACTTCAGAGAACACATAAAACAGGTTCAAAAATACCCACACAACTCAGTTCTTGGTTATGACTAGTGGAGACCTGTATGAACTTTATTTTGTCTATCATGATTACTTTCACAGGTTAAACCGTTTAAAATCACCTTAAGACCACCTGAGGTTATGAATACATATAAATAAAAAGTCTTATTTCGTCGTGGAGTTAAAAATGATGAAGCATATTAGTTTAATGAAATCACATCATGAAGATCTGGTAAGTATTTTGCGAGTGGTTATTCGACCCAGAAAGTTCTACTCGAAGTACATACTGACCTGAATGTCGACAGAGATTCTACTTTGAAAACTCGTCTTTATATCAATTATATTCAGAGTAGATGAATGAGAGTGACCACTGGCGAATAATGGGAAAGCACAACTCATATTGTGAAAAGTGTGTAAATATAAAAGCCACCTAAAACTGTAATTAAGAGTAAGTCCATTCACCTGATTAACAAAGAACTATTATTCCAAACAACGTATTTAAATTTGTTTCATAATGGAAAAAGCAAACGAATTAAATGTGCTCTCACAGTAAGTTCGGTAGGATGTGTCAGAATTCAGATTTATATCCAACTTGTTGCTTCAATCAGTTGTTTTGTTAGGACGACCACTTCTTCTGCTGATTTTAGTCGATGAAATGTTCTTACTCGAAATTTATTTCGAAGCGAATAAGTATAACCAATACTTATTTAAACTGAGAAACATAACCACCGACAACCTAAACAAAAGTAGTATGTGAACCTGGGATTATATGGCTTAAAGTCAATCGCTTCAACCACCAAGCTATTACTCCACTGGGAATTAGTTTGAGCAGTGATTGAAAACAAACGGAAACTATTGGCAAACAGTACAATGGTAATAAGGACATTTGAAGCCTATTGTATCTGAATACACGGGAGAAATTAGAAACACTTCATTATTATGTTAATATGTTTACACTAGTGTTAATTTTACAAAAATCTCAGAAACTGAATTATCATAGTATATTGACCTCAGAAGAGATCAGAAATACACAGCCAAGAGCATTCATTTTCACATACTTGGAAGCTCAGGTTTTATGTCTCTATACATATTTAGTTAATTAAAGAACTGCTACAACAAAGTAAAATCTAGAAGTCAGATATTTAGAATATTCTTATTTTGTTGCTTCTTTAAGATAGGAAATAATATCATTGCGATCAGCTTCCTTCTTTAAACCAGCAAACACCATCTTTGTACCAGGGATATACTTTTTTGGATTTTCCAAATATTCATATAGAGTCTGCTCATTCCATATTATACCTAAACAATAATGAAAGAATTGATAACATAAGTGGCTCATGAAATAAAGAAGCGAAAAGCATGTTTCCACCTTATATACTTAACCTGCTTTATTAAATATTAAATGAATAAGCAATCGTATTGATGGTTTATGCGATAATAATATTGTTAGTAAAAAATTTCTCTCACAAATTAGCATAAGTGAAGATTATCATGTTTATTTGTAAAACAGGTAATTTTTGGAGACTGACGATGTTTGTTCAGGTTTGTGGACAGAGGGTTGTTATAGTACGTAATGACTTGCTACCACTAGTAAATAACTTCCTGAATCAACGTAATTTTTCAATCCCACTTACATCTTTTATACACAGAGGGACCAAATATTTATTTTAACACATAGGTATTGGTACAAAGAGGGACCGAATACATATGCGCCACACAAATCTAAATTGATATGTGTGAGGGCTGTGATACTGCCCGGGTGCCCAGACCGAAGCAGGTGGTTTTCTTAGGGGACCACACCCCGAGCCTTTGATCTGAACGTCTGACCCACAAGGCAGTGGAGCATCGTAAGGAGATGCAGTCCCATGGTAGCCGGTGACCAACGAATGGTTCATACGCCATTTGTTCCTTCAGGATACTGGAGCCCATGTGCCCCATTGGTTTGGGATCCAGACATTCGCTTTTCGTCCTCTCATTTTCGTAAACAACACCCGTGGTGCGAGAAGGCAGTGAGTAGGACTTCCCTGGCAGAGGCTATATACGCGTGGCCATGTGAGAGCATTTCGAGAGGGAGAGCGGACTCTCCCCACTCTCGGCCGTACCAGGACATTTGGGGGCCCGGCTAGATCAGTCCGTAGAGCATGAGACTCTTTATACACAATCTAGACGGACATAATGTACTGGTAACTAGAAGTCATAGGAATAAAATCCGTTGGATCAGCGGATTGGTGTATAAAATACCAATAATTCAGTCAGTAGCAACGTAGAACTTCGTACGTACGTACATCAGTTCGAGTTGCCATACCACATTAGCACACAGATACAATTTTCTATTCAAACCCCATAGTGGTAGAGGTAGTAAGAGTATTAGCAGCAATTGGAAATATTAGGGTCTGAAGATGTTATTCGTGGAGTATAATCCAGTGAAATAAGTTTGAAAATAGAGAAAAAAGGGACATGAAGAATTCAGATTAGAATTTGGGAAAACTCAAAGAGTGGATGCACCTGCACCAATAATTAGACATCATCAATCGAAGGGCAGTTTTAACATTGACAATGGTTATTTTATAATTTTAGACACATAAATATTGGTACAAAAAGGCACCAAATATATATGAGCCACACAACATTTTTATTTGTGTGTGGGCTGTGGTACTGCCCTGGTGCCCAGACCGAAGCAAGTGGTTTTCCTAGGGGGCCACACCCAGAGCCTTTGATCTAAAGTACTGACCCACAAGGCAGTGGAGCATCGTAAGGAGATTCAGTCCCATGGTAGCTGATGACCAACGATTGGTTCATAGGCCATTTGTTCCTTCAGGATACTGGAGTCCATGTGCACCATTAGTTTGGAATCCGGGTAAGCGCCGGACGTTCGCTTTTCGTCCTCTCATTTTCGTAGACAAACACCCCCGCCACGAGGATGCACTGAGTACGACTTCCCTGGCAGAGGCTGTATACGCGTGGCCGTGTGAGAGTATTTCGAGAGGGAGGGCGGGCCCACCACACTTTCGGTCATACCAGGGAATTCGGGGGTACTGACAATGGTAAAGAAAATATCATGATTAAGTCATGTCCTGGTACGGTTGAGAGTGGGGAGAGTCAATTCTCTTTAAAATGCTCTCACATGTTCACAATCATTGTCAGGGAAGCCCTACTGACTGCCTTCTCGCAGTATGGGTGTTATTTACGAAACTGAGATGACGAAAATCGTATGTCCGGCGACTTAACTAGGTCGGTGGACCCGGGAGTTAAAAAACCTGATTACAAACTAATGGTGCATATGGGCTCCAGAATCCTGAGGGACCAGATGGCTTATGAACCAATTGTTGGTCACCAGCTGAGATATCAGAACCGCAATAGAACCACCTATAGTTTCTATCCTAAGACACAAGTGGTCGCCGAACCCCATCATTCTGGGTAAACCGTATTAAACCCGAAGATGTCAACCCGAAAACAACCCACTTGTCCCACGACTAAATGTCGAGAAATAGCGAACTGCGTTTCACAGACATAATCCCAGGGGACAGTCATATTACAGGTCAAACAGATCACAGATATGCATTAAAGTCGATAAATTTTGGATAAATGGGTAAAGAAACTAGGAAGGTTAGCAAGAAAGTAGTAATTTTAGTGGTGATGAAAAAGTGGATTTTTTAAACAAGATGTTATGTGACAGAAAATTTGACCCTGATTTGGAATTGTCCATGTCTCAAGTGAGAATTTGTACCCCCTTATGCGAATACGTCAACTTTTGAGATAATGAACTGATACGACTGTTACAAACGATGGGCTATATGGGAGCTGTTGAAGCTTGCGAGAGCTAGCAACGCGTTTATCAATAAGGTTCAGACTCAATAAACTTTCTGTTTGTTTCGTTGATGAATCCCCACATCCATACGATATGGGAATCTACTAGTCTGTCTATGCGAACTATGATTCCTGCAGACTTAAGCAATGAATTACTCACTTTAATCTTTCTATTGAAGTGCAGTAAAAAATAATAACAAACAAAAGCCCTTAAAGATTACCTTTACTAATGTTGGCAGCAGTGTATGTATATCCAGGAGCTTGACCAGTTTTACGTCCAAACAAACCATTTAGATTGGGTCCTACTTTGTGAGGACCACCTTTATCAACGGTGTGACACTGTGCACATCGTTGAACGAAAAGCTTCTTCCCTTTCTCAAAATCACCTTCAGAAAACGCCATCGAAGAGCGGAAGTCCAAAAAGCCTCTTCAAGAAGAGTGGAGCTGACTAGGTAATTTAAACAAGTTGTGAAATCTCAATCTAATGATCATCCTAAAGCGTGGACAGCAAGCAAAATATAACTTTAACCTTTTGCCCGAAATAATTCCTCTATTTTCCGGATAGTATATTTGAAAACATAACGTTCTTAACCATATCTCGAAACATTGGATGCCACTAAATGAGTGTTAGAGATCACAACCCTATCTTAACTTATAACCGTTTCTCATTTACATTTCTAAGTGTTGGGGACAAAAATTTCACGCTATTTAGTTTAAAATGTAAAATTAGTCTGATATTTTGCAACTTTTGTTCAGTGTGTGGATAATCAAAATTTAATTAACGTTAAACAATACTTGAGAAACGTAAGTTTGCTTATGATATTTTGTACGGGACCCCAGTTTTATAAATGGACAACGATTTACAATTTAAATCTATAAGATTAATTTATGCAAAGGTTTCTGATAATATTCTTATATTTTTCAAATAACCAGTGGATGTTAGTCTGATGAGTTCAAAGCAAAGAGCTCTCTATGGGATTCAGAGGACCTGGATTCAAGCCCTGGAGTGGGTCGTGGAAGCACACTGTTGAAGAATCACATACTGGGATAAAACACATACTTAGAGCTTCCTGGCTTTCAGTGGTGATTTAATTGCCATGATGTTAGTTATGAAATAATCAACTCGGATTTCATCCTTATGACCAAAACATCACTCACGTTTCAGCCATTTCTTCTTGACCTTTTAGAAATGGTCTTTTAAATTATTTTTCAATTAGTCCTCAATAGGTTTGTTTGACCTTATTTAAGATAGGGAAAGTTGGTTCTGCCTCCTTAACTCCAAGAGGCAAGAATATCCCTAAGCTCATTCAAAAGTAAGGGCCCAAATTGTTTGAGAGGATTAACTTCAAATCTCGTGTAGAACGTCACAACTCATCAGTTTCTCACATATTGAATTATGAGTGACTCAGAGAGGATCTTTGAGCGATGCATAGAACCCCAAACACTCCAGTATATCCTCCAAAGTGCCCATATAAACTCAGTCCCAGTAACAGCAGCTTATGACAACACTTTGCAGGAGGCATTCCAAAATCTGAAGGAATTCGCTATCGAGATTTCAGTTATATCTCCCCTCTTTCAGTCGTCAAAGAAGTCCACAAATTGATTTTAAGTCCACCACCACAACCATAAACTATCTTAAAATCGAGAGATGATGAAATGCCCATTATTATCAGACGGCTAAAGGACACAAGGGCTATTCCAAGGGAAACCATTAGGTGATAGCGTAGTGAACCAGAACACAAGTGGGGACAACCGAATGCATTTGAACACAAAATTACGAACATCTTACTAAAATCTGAGAGGCATATAGTGAATACTTCATTTGTAAAATGTCAATCAATCGTCTCAGAATTCATTCTTTTTTGATTCTACACCAACAATTTCCTGTTCTCCTTCTCTTCCCACCGATTTTCCTAACCTTCTGCCTCCAGACATTTCACTTTCGATTCATGACACATTCTATTTATATCTGTCGACATCAGTAGGACACACAAAAAGAATATTGAGTTTGCGACATGACTCTCAGAGCTACGCTCACGTTAAACTTAATTTGGTGAGTTGTCCCTAGGAAATTCTGGAACTTATCACTATTGTTATGTTTGATAAAACATTATTTTATATAAATAACAGACCAAATCAGTTATTTTCCCATCGTATAGCTGAAAGCTACTACACATGTGGCTTTTATTTTTGATTATTACTAGTAGAGCAGAAAACATCTGTACTGCTCATACTTTGAGCAGCTAAACACCAACTAAGACAGTCTTTCAATGTGACTTGTTGAAATACTTTGGCATACTAATGCTTCCTTTCATTTTTATTTTTCCTTATGTCTGAGTAACCTGCACTCAGCGAACATGGTATGGTTTCGAGATTCATGAACGAAAAAATTACCTCCACACACATTCAATCAATGGACAACAACAGCTGCAATGGCCAGGATTGCAGTATTTACTAACGTTGGTCGTATATTTACGATACTCATGACTGACGGAAGTAGCACGCTTGTGAGATGAAAGCCTAACCGTCTCCTGGGTAACTTAAAGGGATGTAGTCTCACTGTAACATGCACACCTATATCAAGCCCATCAGATGGTTAATCTGTAAGACCCCATTTGTACAGCTGGCCATAAAAACCCTATTCGATCCTCTTACTTTTTGCAATTTTCTTTTTTAACCGTATATTCTACTTTTCCAGGTCATGGAGTGCCCTTACGCACGCGCGACTACGAACCCGATTATAAAAGGCAGTCACCATAGACTCAAGGTCACATATTTGATTGATTTTGATGAGTAGACCAACTTATCTCTATAACTTCAAAAATTATGGAGTCCCTGATATGCGACGCTACACACGACTATTTATTATCCTCAAACCTCTTTTCACCCCAGCAGCGTGGTTTCAGAAAGGGTCATTCTTTTGTAACCAACCTGCTGACTGCAATGAACAGATAGACAATCATTCTTAGCCGCAAGGGGAAGGTTGACGTCATTTGCCTTGACTTCTCTGAAGCTTTCGATAGGGTCAAACCCACTTCTGATTGTCTCGTGAGAGCTCAATCTAGAAATACTAACTACAGGGTGCTTGAACACTAGTTCAGTCTACACCAGTTGTGCAGCAAGAGCAAATGAAACCCTTGAATTCTCACAGAGACAGGTTTATGTGACCTAGATTTGTTTATAATACATTGAAACCTACTCAAGGACTGAGCTCAACATCCATACCGTTGTTGAGCCCACAATCTTCAAAATAGATACGAATCTTAGTACACAGATGCTCAGTAAATTAGATGATAGGGCAAAAAGCAAATCTTACAAAGAAAGGCCTAGATACCTGAAACTATTTTCGTTGAGCTAAAGGATAACTGGGGTAAGCCTAAGGACTATATATTAACAAACGGCATACTAAAATTCCCCTACGAGAATCAGCTGTACCTTATTCACATCTTGTAAATTATCTGCTATTATCATCACCACGTATCATTAACTTCCTATCATCTCATCATTTCACCTTTCGGTCGTCTCAAATTATTTGGATTACTGATCAGTTTATTTATTTACTTCTTGAGGCAATCGTCTTCTCTTACCATTCAAATTTTCTCTTCATAACGTTTCACACTGCATTCAGTCAACATCCCGACTGTTAGTGTGGTTGCGTCTAGTTCCGGTGACCCTAATTTCCTACGACAAACTGCGTCGGATCTCTCCATAGGCAAAATATCAGAAGGCAATTGAAAGTTGCAGTAAGATGCATTTGTTGGTGATCTCGTGGTATCGAAAGAATACCGAATTAGTGCCAAAGAGTACAGATGGGAATATTGAGGGTAACCGAGAGCGTGCAAAGCCATAGTCAACAGGATGTATGTTTTTAGTACAGTTGAACAAACAAGTACAACAAAATAATCACTCGTACAACTGGTCATAATAACAACTGTTTCCATTATACCAATTGCGTTCTCTTGATGAAAGTAGGTCACTGCAACATAAATTCGTTAAAAAACTAAAAAACTGACTAGAATTAGTGCTGTTGGAACTAAAATCTTCCGAAATAAAAAAACCAACACATGGACGTCACTTAGGTCAAACCAGCTTGTCACAAAGAACAGCTTTTGCGGTTCACTGACAGTGTCAGGGCTGGGGTGGATTAAACAATATATGAACTCAAAAATGGTGATAAAGATTTTGAGTGGAAACAGTAATGTTAAAATATATCAGTTATACGTTATAAACACATTAAAAATTAGGGACGTTACTTAATCCAACTTGCTTGTGCGTGTTCAGACTGAGCTTTGTGCCAGAGTCCACAATTATAGATGATTGATGATTCCAGTAAGACTGTTGTGCTTCCGGTGATATAGTCAAGCGTAGAATATAATATAATGGTGGCTGCAGTCTATAAATATAGACAGTAGGTAATTTAGAGTTCAGTTATCACAACCACGAGCAATGGAGAACAAGAGGTATGTGTGTGTATAGTAGTGTATTTGTTAGCAGATAACAGCGTGTGTCATGCTATGCGTGTAACACAACGGAATGGCACAACAGAAGAACTCCAAAGAATCTTAAAACAACACAGAATCAAAGTATATTACAAAACAACGAACAATTTAGTTCCCTTGAAAGAAAAAATCCATTTCATGTCCACACAGAACTGCGTCCACAAATTAGGTTGTATCTGTTGTGATGCCTTCTATATTCGAGAGCCACCCCGCGAAATATTGACTAGAGCCAAAGAACATATTAGGTTCACAAAGAAACCTCCTAACAATCCTGTAGAATTGGATTGTAGGGCCAGTGCAATTCTACTGAGCCCTAGCCAAATCATCCGGCAGTTGGGTCATTGAATATCGAACAAATCATCGATCCTCGTCAATGTCAAGAGTAACCAACGCGCATCAGTTAATCGTACGCCATTGACTGGCGCATGCGGCAGTGGTCTTACTTTCGCTTGTATCTACTTTAACTAATATATCTCTGTAATAACGTCCTCTGTGTTGTACAGTCTTCAAAGCATCTATAGTGCCTTGATACATCAATGGGGTAGTCCACGTAAGGTGCTGACCACGAGGTGTGACTTCCACGCTAGCTGGTTCGTCACACCATTCCCGTCTAACTCGAGTAGGCTTCCGATCATTCGACATAGATCATCTACGTTGGTGATCTACGGGATAAACTTGAAATTAAATCGGCAATAGCAGTTCGTGCCATTTTCAACGAACACCAAATTGATTTCAAAAATATAAAAATATTGCAAAAAGGCTTTTTCAACTAGAAAGAAAGGAGAGTTGCCGAAGCGTTCCATATGATGCTTAATCCTACTTCTCTCAATAGTATAGAAGGCCTTACCATACATCCTACTTGGATTATCTATCCTAGCCACTTAGTCTGATCTTATTTACATTTCACACTATCATCTTAAAAATTAAACTATCTTTTCTTACCATAAACGTCGTACAATTTTTCATCCTTAAACAGAACACACATACAAACAGAAAATTTACATACATATCACTTATGAATCACCTTGACCGAAATGACATAATATTAACTTGCTCAAACCTTTTTTTGATTGATCACATATTATTCTTTTTGTTCCGTTATACTGTTTAAACTTGGATTAACTTTAATTTGTTTATTTATTCTCTGAAGTGGCTTACATCAAGTAACGAAACGTCAGAAAATCCAATTCTTCTGCTCATTGTGATATTACAACTATATTGTTTATGTATTTATAACAATCTGTCCAATGCTCATTTTTTTCGAAATTATCGAATCAAACCTTGGTAATGATACTTACAACGGAAAAAAAACAGTGTTTAAGGTCATACACTTGAACAACATGCACAATCATTTTGTGAATAATGTACAGACTGTAAAAGATTAACAGAATAAATGCAAATAACATCATAAGCTATTTACAAATTAAGTTTGTGACGCCTATCTACACATGGCTTTGGAAATAGTTGACACGTTATGTAAAGTTCGAGAATTAAAAGATTATTCTCTTTTTTCAGGTGGATGCAAAATGTTCAGCTTACCAGAAGAAAATGAATGTGCTTCGTTTTACTACATATCTAGCTTCGAATAATCAAGGTTAATATCCCACTTCAAGGCCGTGTCGGCCTCGACCTCGTGTTTTTTCTACAATTTCGTTATTCTATTTACAAAGTCTTATATTCTTTATGATCAGGCAATATGAAGGGAGTGTCTTAAGTGCATATAGCTGTTACTACTAGTGTTTTAAGACAGTTAAAGATGTAGGTGAATTCAACACTTTTGGATTAATCCCAATTAATCAATAAAGGGGAAATAAAGGCGAAAAAAAGGGGAAATAAGAGGGAAAATGCTTTGGTAAAGAAAGGAGAAGTAAAGGGAAAACGCGCCATAATGTCGCCTTTTTCGCCTGTTTGGGTGAAATAATGCGGATTTCCCCCTTTTTGTCGCCTTGTCGCTAAATTGTCTACTTTTCGCCTAAATATCAACCCAATATGTCTACTTTTCGCCTAAATATTCGCCAAATTGTCTCTTTTTTGCCTAAATATCCGCGAAATTGCCTACTTTTCGCCTAAATATCCTCCAATTCGCATACTTTTCGCCTAAATATACGCGGAATTGCCTGCGCATCAAACTGATTGCATATGCAATCAGCTTAATGCCGAAAAGTTGCTGAACGGCACTGGTTTTCATGCACCTATCTTCCATTTTACTTATTGTTTGGTGTTGTCATCTTATTGATTGGGATAGTCGTTTATACATCCCAGTTTTATTTACTGGTGGCTATGTTGATCATTATGCTAAACCCCATCAATCTAATAACGTGTTAAACATTGTCAAGATGAAAAATTTACGAAATGATGTTTCAAATGTACTGAAACTTCCGCCTGTCTGATTAAGACTTTTTCTATCATTTATTTTAGAATCCTCGATAAAGTTAATATTATTTCATAATTGTGTGTAAATACACTGTAGACCAGCTTTCATAGGAATAGTTTTTGGTATTTTAGGTAAAGTGTTGGTTTGAAAATATGGCTGTAAATTCATTCAGGTGAAAAGCACTTTATTCTCATAAGTGATGGGGCGCAGGAAAATTGAAGTCCAAAAAATTGAAGATAAAAATAAATGTGTGGTAAGAATTGGTTGTGTAGTATTACTCTCTTACTTAGGCCACTTTCCGCAAGCGTCGAGATGGTTTATTTAAGAAAGCGCTTGAACTACATCGTCTGACCGGCGCGGAAATTACACTAAGTTTAGTATACAACAAATCAAGATATTACTTCAGCTCACATGGTGATATGGATGATGGAGACGTAATTAACAATTTTCACTACACTAAACATTTTCAGTTCAAGGTTGGTTTGGGTATATTTTAAAAATGATGCATTTGTTTTGATTGCGCAGTTAGTCGTTTATGTGGCAAGCCAAAGTTACAGTACATCAAAAACCTTTCTCGTTCAGTTAATCATCTCAGGTTACCTTTTTAAACTAAAAATTACATAGCTACGCTGCTAGCGCGTTTCCTAACTAGTCCCTAAAGTCATTGTCAGCAATTTGTAAACTATTAATTGTAGTCCCAGAATACTCTTGCACAACTGAAAGTGGAAAGTGTCCTGTCCCTCTTTAAATGCTCTTGTACGCCCATGAGTTATGTGCATCTGTCAGGGAAATCTTACTCGCTTCATTCAGGCTACTGGAGCATAGTCTATAAAGTTTAGAAGACATAGCGGATACAGCTCCAGAACCGGATTGGTGAGTAAGTAGAATCCGCTTAAGAATGTCAAGAAGCCCTGGTTTTTGAACACGTGATCTACGTTGGCTCCAGGATCGTGACGGACTTAATAGTGAGTTAACCTGTTTCTGACTATCAACTGTCAGGAGACAGCATCTGTCATTTTTCTACTGCTTTACGGACTAAACCTTTAGGCTAGACGATTGGAAAGTAGCCCTCTGTTAAAATTACATATCTCTTTGTGGCACATACTATTGGTGCTTGGATCTACTCAATTTTTTCGCAAATCAAACAACTTTTTCTGATGTTTAGCTGTGAGCACATTTTTGAAATGGAAGTTTTGTTATGCGGTATTATACTAAATATTGGGATATTCGTTATGCCTTATGTTCGCTAGAGAGCTTTTTAGTTATTTCGTATGAACCAATCGTTGGTCACCGGCTACCATGGGACTGCATCTCCTCACGATGCTCCACTGCCTTGTGGGTCAGACGTTCAGGTTGAAGGCTCGGGGTGTGGCCCCCTAAGAAAACCACCTGCTTGGGTTTGGGCACCCGGGCAGTATCATAGCCTCACACAAATCAATTGAGATTTGTGTGGCGCATATGTATTTGGTGCCACCCTGTACCTATACTTATGTGTTAAAATAAATAAATAAATAAATAACTCACCTATATTTCCTGACTTAACTTTAGGAATTTTTGCTTAGGTTATTTGGTTTTATAAAGTTCTGGAAAAGTGACAATCGTTTCCTCATTTCTGTTGTCCTAAAAGCCATGGAAGATCAAAATGCTCTGCATATCTAAGAGTAGTGTCAGTAATTTATGTAGCTGAAAAGCATCATGTTCTCGGGGAAAAGTGTAAACTACACATGATTATTTTGCGATAACAGAAAAGCTTTTATCAAATACGGTTTTCTCATTTATAAATTTGAATAAAGCATAAACAACGGTCGTAGCATAATAGTATATATGCCTAATTATATCTGTTGTCTGACTCTGATGTGACGTCAGTAAGGTGTTTCCCTCAGACAACTAGCATAACAGCGATGCTGTCTCCCCACAAGGAAGGGTGGAGTTAGAACATGTCGACCCTAAAAATATACACCTCGCTTAATCTCACAGATTTTCGTCTCCGACCGTAATGTCCCAACATGTATGGAACTTACACGAAAATTACTCGCAAAAAGGTCGGATGTGACTGGTCCCAAGCAGTTGTCCCTTGGGCACTTAGGTCACGCTCTCAGGTTACTAGGACCGACTCATTCCCAATTTCCTTTTCAGGCATCTCAAGGAGAACCCTTCCACAGTGTAGGCAACCGAAAAGTGAAAATTGCCCTCTGCTTCTAATAGCACCCAAAGTCACTGTATCCATAGTCAATTTTTCTCTTCGATACCCATCATTCCTCCCACCTCGATTTCCAACTCTAAAGTCCTCCTTTTTTACTTCTTCCTAAAGTGTCACCATCGTCAACGATTCCAGTGCGCGAAACACTGCCTCAAGTCTACCGAAACCTCGTTCCAGACTACACATTGGAATCCTCAACGTACTCACCCTGTATCAAGTCGGTCAGCAGGCATCCTTAGCCAAGATACTAGAACTTCATGTCATTTATATATTCTGTGTCTGCGAAACACGCATACATTATCCTGTGGTCATCCACTTGGTCTCACCTCGCCAGAACTGGAAGCCGACGAGATACACCCTCCGTTTATCTGAAGACTTGGTGACTAGTTCTCGCGGACTGGCGGTTGTAGGTATAGCACTGAGTACGAGGGCAGAACAAGCAATATTAGAATGGATCCCCGTTAACAGTCGCTTATGTGCCGTTCGGCTGAATGGTTCTGTAAGTTGGAAGGATAGGGACATATGTCGTTTCTGCCTACGCTTCCACTGACTACGGTCCAGATGAAGTAAAAGATGACTTTTACAGAAAGCTTTCTGAACTTCTTCAGAAAGCTAAACTCTCAGACATAGTACTTGTGATATAGGTGACCCTATATCTGACTCCAATTGGATTGTATGCTGATTGTCATCAAAATGCACATGTTGGCTATTCTCGTGTATTTCATCGACTTAAATCGCGTTGGTGAATAACGGAATTAAATAAGTCGAATACGAAGATGGATTTTTGAATACCTATATTTTGTACACTCACTGATCTGAATATGAAATGAGAGGGATGAAACGAATAGAGGAGAGCAAAGCGGAATGACGCGCTATGGAGAAGGCGTGTGAGCCAACTCCATTTAATTAAGCGTGAATCAATATTAATATTCACACAAAAATAAGTTACAGATCTGTTGTGAGTAGGATAAGATGTACACACACATATTCTCATATAAAAACAATCAGTGTTGATAAGTGAATAATTAACATGGTCGAAATGTGATTCAAGAAGAATGGATAAATCGGCCTATCCGGAAGCTAGAATAAGTTATATGGGATTAACATAGTGATCGACACTACAAGTATTGCGGCTGAGCGAATAGATAATAGTGATCGTCCACTGCAACTATGCTCAGAAAATCGTTTATTTTTCTTAGCAAGCACTGATTTTAAGTATAAGAAAAGACATTGTTGAATATGGCGACCCCCTTCACCAAACAAACGATGCACTCAAATAGACTATATTGCCATGTCATCGTTGGAGAGACTCGCTAAAGTCTGCCGCTCGTTCTGGAGCACATATTTAGACTCTGATCATTCTCTAATAGAAGCATGCATTTTGTCGCGCCTCGCTGGACGCAGTAAAATCACAAAGATATATATATATATATATATATATATATATATATATATAAGTATTTATAAATATGTTAATATCTGTAATAACAGCTTGAAATATTATAGGTTGTAAGCAGCTGATGAGGACCTAGCGAAATAAAATGAATTCATATTATTCTGCACCAATATTCGTTTTTGCTCCCTTCAAGATAATAAAGGGAACTATGTGTATGAAATTTAACGATTAAATTGACTAATATTTTAGCTAAAATCTGGGAACTGAATGCAATCCTATCTGACTGGTCACAATCACTGATTGTCCCAATATATAAGGAGTCAAAATCATCCTGTGGTGAACATAGAGAGATTAGTTTGACTAACATAGCATTTAGGATACTAGCCTCAGTAATTATTTGGCGCCTAACAAAGGTTCGTGAACTGCAAACACGAGAAAATCAGGCTGGCTTCAGACCTGGTTGTGGCTGCATCGACCATATATTCACCATTCGTCAGGCGTGCTTATCGGCATCCGACAATGATAGTTTTTCTTGACTTAAAAGCGGCATTTAACTCTGTTGGCCGAGAGGTTCTGTCGCAGTGTCTGTCATTGAAAGGAGTACCTCAGAAGTAAGTAAACCTTGTGAAGACTCTATACTCGAACACTACCCGTTAAGTCAGGGCTTATGGCGAACTGCATCTTATTTTGCAACCTCAAGTGGTGTCCGTCAAGGTTGTCCACTATCTCCATTTTTGTTTAATTACGTCATAGACCCACTGCTGGAAATAACGTCCTCGTCGACTGAATTATGGGGCATTGATCTCCTACCAGGAGGTCCACTTATTAACTTAGAATACGCATATGATATAATCCTGTTTGGTGAAAACGCTGATAAGATGCTGGGTCTTTTGGTGGCACTGAGCAACAATGCCAATTGCTACTTCAGGACTGGCCTGTGTCAACATCCGCACTAAGGATAGGGAGCGAATTAGTCGAATGCATCGACAATTTCACTTATCTTGAAAATCTGATCATCCGTTATGGTTGGATTCTGATGAAGTCGTTTCAGGGATTCAGAAAGCTCGTTTGGCTTTTGCCAACTCACGTCACCTACGTCTTAGGCGAGATATCCGTCTATCAATTGAGACGAGCATTCTGTAGTTCGTTCTGTTCTACTTTATGGCTGCGAAACTCGGCTATTAATGGTAGAAGACACTCATCTGCTGGGATCACCGGGTAAGTAATGGTGAGGTTAGATGCCAGGGTATTAGGGAATGATGGTAAATCAGGCAATGAAGTTGTGAATCTTCATCAACTGAGATGGTTGGGCCACGTGTTGCGTATGCCTGAACACCGATTACCACGACGCGCAATGCTGAATAGTGTTGGGGATGGTTGGAAGAAAGTTAGGGGCAACCAATCTAAAACGTGGTATCAGTGCTTCAAGTTACTAACTCCTAGTCTTAGCCATGTTGGTAGATGCAAACTACTTGGTCGGGGTCCGCGCGACTACCGTAATCAATGGATGGTGACTGAGTGATATGACTCAGAATCGATTACAGTGGCATAGCTGTATACACTCTTTGCCCCCCCCCATGATATTAAAATTAATTTATGCCCTTCTTTCTACGAACTAATTCTCTTTCCGTTTTATATTCTCATATACAGTCTTTCATATATTTCTACCACTGAAGCAACTACTTTGAATTTGGTGTTCATCTTGTTGTGCTAATGTGGCAACTTGGACAGATGCATATATGGGCCTGGTCCTGTGTTGTGGTTGACTGACTGATTTTTGAGATTGGTCTGTCTACCGGAGCGTGAAATACTAGTTTGGATAGGATTTGACTGAAGTGGTGGTTTAGTTTTGAAAACACTCGGGTTCCGATTACTACGTTACAGGCTCGAACTGTGCTATATCTACCTCGATCTTTACACCCATATAGTATCACTAGACCTCAGCGTAACTCAAAACCCAGAAAATAAAATTGTACATTATTACTAGGTTTAAAAAGGGTGCAAAATCCAGGTTAAAATGTTCTTGTTACATGAAATCTGTCTGTCTCAGTGCATAGTTATTGTTTTAGTCAAATTGTTCTGCATTACTCCTTTTTACTAACAAGCGATAGGATGAGTATCTGCAAATTTCTTTTTCTACGCTACTTTCATTTTATAGGCATGTGGATCTCATTTACCACACGGTTGCAGTGAAACTAATTGTTCATCCAAGTTATCAAATAATAAGCATTCAAGTCAAAAAAATGAAACATCTATTAAACGAAATTCATTCCCATTGATGAATTCCGCTAACAACTGTACAAAATATAAGTATAAAAGTACAAAGTTAACTAGTGAAGAGAGATTGGCTAATTTACGATATTTAATTGTTGATGAGTTATTTAAACAGGCGCTTACACGATTTCGTTCTTTAACCAAAGTAACCAGCTTGAATAAGGTAAATGTTCTATCGGCGAGTTTTTTTCCCTAATTAAGGAAGATCTCAACGTTTGCTGTGTATATTTATAAAATCAATAGGTTATTTCTGCTGCGGTCAATAGAGATGGTTTATTAGTCAAAGCATCCGACTTTCAACTAGTGGATTTCAAGTCCTAGTCCTGCTTCACCTCTTTCGGCTTGAGAAACTTGTCAGTATCATTAGCCCTTACATAATACCCGACTCAAAACCAAGTACACAAGTCTGTACTTGGTAAGTGAGATATCGAGCTGTTGTGATTCTTAACTAACCTGTATTTGTAATGAAGAGAAGTTATAGAACTGTCAGCTTTACGTATAACCAAAAATGATCTTAATTGATTGAGGTAATTTGATATATTGTTGGTTTGAGATGCATGCTATATCATAATTATTACCAATATTTAGTCTCATGAAGTTTGCAAAGTATTTTTGAGATTGCCATATTGGATCTCATCAAAACACCTTAATTGGATAAAATATATCTGCGTTTGTACACTTTAGATATGCTGTGAACGTGTGTTTCTGTTTTCTCTTAGTTACAAAATCTTAATAAAATTACTGCTTACACAGGAATTTATTTGGCATCCATAGTTTATCTTCGTTTACTAACTTGTCAGATGCCTGAAAATTCTGGGTATTTCTTCGTAAATTTAATTAAAATATCGGTTAGGTGTAACTTAATTTTTTATGATTGATTGATCACTAAGTAGTGACCAATATCTTGTTTGTGTAGTCCTTCTTAGTGCCGGTCGAATCATGCCGATCAAGTTGGTGGTCTAAGTGGCTCAACATCCCGTGGACTATTTTATGTTAGGTCTACTGGAAAGTCGACCTATGTCTCATACTACTTGGTAGTTTCCAACAAGGAATGCTTATGTAATCTTAAGGAAATTTATATTTTCTGGCGGGTCCGGAACCGTATCACTCAATTGATCGTTCATGTAACTTATTAGTCATGTACAAATTTCTGTACATTCAGTTTTGCATGACGACTAATGATACTACTCTCTAGGTGCCGAAACTTAATTAGATTGAGAGAAGGTAAGTTTTAAACATGCAAATGATATATTAATCAACATCGATTAATCGAATTACTAAACAACAACCACTTGAAAGTCAACGTTAGCAACTGTTTAGTACACTTAGTAAATAGATTTTATTGTCGTGTAGAAAGTAATCATAATTTCATGTAATGGAACTAAATAACATTAACTGAGAAATACTTGTAGATTTATGATGGATATACTTTTCTGTTTTTAACTTTTACTTTCTCTCTCTCTCTTATACAAATGTGTGTCTTTATCCATTTCATTTATTTGCATACTTTATCAGAAACAGTCAATAATTAGTCCCTGTTATAATAGTAGTGGTAGTTGGACTATGTTAAGTCCATCAAGTATTATTCCTAGTTGTGAAGTTTCATCATCTCATCTGGTAGATCAATCAGAAAAGGTTTTTAATGATGAAAATATTTTGTCGATAGGTAAGTGTAACAAAAAATTTCTTATGCTCCAGAACAATTTCAATCTTTCAACATGAAGTAAATATTGAGTTTGTTTAGAGTTATTTACTAAAAAGTATTGAACAGTCAGAATTATTTATTATGGTTCTTTTAAGTAATTCATGTCAAGAATTCAGTGGTTTAGACCTTTAATTTTCAATTATTAGATCATAAGTTCAAACTGAACTTCAATTATTCCCATTTAGACTGTTGAGTAGTATCATTAGTTCGCATACAATAATTGTGACATATACCTAATTACATGGTAAATCGGTAAAATCAGTTTAAAAATATAATAAATAACGGTTGTCAACACTGTGACCAATCAATAGAGTATCCATTCGTAGGGCCACGAACAAAATGGTGGTTATCTAAAGGACGAGTGAGAAAATGTGCAATTGGAAAGGTTGCACATCAGTAGGGTAGACCATCAAAAAGGCACATATTAATAAAAATGAGCTTCAAAAGGTAGAATAGAGCTTTTAAGGGTCTCTTTGCCTCTACAATGAATTCAAAACGTAATTTCAAACGTCTAATAATGAGATAGCTTTCAACAAATAAGATGATTTTTCGAATGCGATAATTATCTAATATTCGCATGATCCCTATCATGTCATATCATACTTCTATTTCGATTAATGAACGGAGAGCTTCCGAATGCCCTGGTACGGCCGAGAGTGGGGGGAGCTAGCTCTGCTTCTCGAAACGCTCTCACATCTCCACGTGCATACAACCACTGTCAGGGAAGTCCTACTCACTGCCTTCTCTCGTCGGAGGTGTTGTATACGAAATTGAGATGACGACAAGCGAGTCAGGCTCTTTAACCGGGTCTTTGGACACGGAGAGTCCACCTAGGGGAGTTGGAAAACCGTGATTCCAAACCAATGAGGTAACAAATGGAGTATGAACCTATTGTTGCTGACCGGTTAGCAAGGAAGTGCATCTCCTTACGTTGCTCTACTGCCTTGTGGATCAGACCTTTAGGTCAAAGGCTCTGGATGTGTCCCCCTAAGAAAACCACCTGCTTCGGTTTGGGCATCGGGGTAGTTTCCCAGGCATCACATAAATCGGATGATTTATGTTGCGCATATCTGTTTGGCGCCTCTTTGTACTTAAGTTTATGTGTTTAAATAAATAGTGAACGGAAAGTCATTTTAGAAAGATATTGGTGTACTTTGGATTTCTAATCTTTCTCAGGGATTTTTCTATTCATTTACTGAATAAGTGTTGCATGTAAGGAGATATTTATCACTGAAGATTTTATTTTAAGCTTTAGTTTCTACTTTGTTTACTTCTTTCATTCCATGTGTTGAAATACGCTACAATAGTGTATTCATTTGAAGACATATATCGATAGCCTTCAATGATTGCAATAAAATCTTCAGTGTAAATTAATTCTCTTATATACAATACTAACCCATTCATTGTATCAAAAACAATTCTAGATACTATACTTCTATTGTTTGTTCTTTTTTCTTTTTCATTTATTAAACATAAAACAAAAAACCTTGTAACAGTTCAAACGCACACAAATTCACCATTATTAGAATCTAATTATCAATCATTACAATTTATTTATTCACCAAATAATTTATCATATTCATCATCAATTAATACTACTACAGATCAACAATTATCAAAAGAATTTAATTCAAGTCCACTAAGTCAAATTTTAGAGGTATCTTAGTATTTATTATTATTATTATTATTTTTAATCTTAAATGTATCATACTACTTATTTGTTTATTTATCTATTATCTATACTTGTTTTGTTTCATGTTAAAGTTGATCAAACTTATATGTCTGTATGTATATCTATATGATTGTAGGTAGTTCTATGTTTAGATATAATGATTTCTATCGATATCCAGACCAAAAACATGGCACCAAATTCATGAAGTCACTGACAAGTGGACTTGTTGATAGGTGTAGACTACCTAGTTGGGATCCGCGAGACAATAACAACCAATAGTTAGAGACCTTGAATGACATGGCTCAAAATCGTTTGCAATGTCGCAGGTGCATCCACTCTTTCTGTTCTCCCAAATTCTAATCTTCTGAATTCTTCATGTCCCTTCTTTCTTTCTCTTTACAAATTTATTTCACTGTATTATACTCCTTGAATAACGTCTTCAAACCCTAATCTTTCTGATTACTGCTTATACTTGTACTACATCTACCACTACGGGATTTGAACTAACAATTGTATCTGTGTGCTGATGTGGTATGGCAACTCGAACTGATGTACGTACGTACGAAGTTCTACGTTGTTGATGACTGACTGATTGATTTATATTTCCAAAGGTTCATTTTTACTAACGTAGAGGTATGTGTTGGCGATTTTTGTCTTTCTTTTTGATGAAATCAAAAAATAAGTGGTATTAAGTTAATATAGAATAAATGGAATGTGGCTAGTTACGACATGAAGGAGGGGACTCATCGACTGAGTGTACTTGCACCACCGAGTTCATTTCAACTCCGGAACTCGAACCCAGTACTTTTCGTTCTAAATGCCAACTCTTTATCCATTTATCTATTGAGCTCAAAGTGCTGGTCACTTGTGAAATAGAAATGAATTTTAGTTTAATTGCTTTAAAGTGTTTGTGATATAATGGCTAAATAGGATTAATTAGCTTAGGATACATATATGCTAATGAGAGACTGATTAATTTTAAATCTTACCATCAATAATGAGATACAGAATAAATTAAGTGATATTAGGAATTTATCAACAGAGATTAATTTTTAAAGAAATTGTGATGTGTTTCAGGCAGTAGACGGTTTGTCGATTTACACAGATTTCTCTCATGATATTTCGTTTATTTTTATTTATTATTTTATTTTATTTTAACACATAAGTATAGGTACAGGGAGGCACCAAGTACATATGCGCCACACGAATCTCAATTGATTTGTGTGAGGGCTGTGATACTGCCCGGGTGCCCAAACCGAAGCAGGTGGTTTTCTTAGGGGGCCACACCCCGAGCCCTCGACCTGAACGTCTGACCCACAAGGCAGTGGAGCATCGTGAGGAGATGCAGTCCCATGGTAGCCGGTGACCAACGATTGTTCCCTCAGGATTCTGGAGCCCATGTGCACCATTGGTTTGGGATCCGATTAAAGCACCGGACATTCGCTTTTCGTCCTCTCATTTTCGTAAACAACACCCCCGCCACGAGAAGGCAGTGAGTACGACTTCCCTGGCAGAGGCTATATACGCGTGGCCATGTGAGAGCATTTCGAGAGGGAGAGCGGACACTCTCCACTCTCGGCCGTACCAGGGCATTTAGTTTACACTTCACGAATGGAGAATAGGAGTTTGTGAAGGTTGTTAAATTTTATCGTCTATATTACGAACTGACTTTAGACAACCAAACATTTTTCTAATTTAATCAGGATGTGAAGTGGCAGTAGCTTAGTGATCTGGAAGCATTCGGCAGTTTGGGTAACTGGGTAGTTAGTATCACTAGTCTTTGCACAAATAATTTAGCTTAAAGCTGACTACAGAAACAAGTTATATTATTCATCTCTTTAATATATATCCATAAATTAGGAAGGATTCGAACTACGATTTTTTTTTGTAATCTTGACTGAACTTCGATCAATCTTTGTTGTGATGTGTGCATCCTGCGCGGGTTCCCTCAATATAGCCATTTCTCAGTAGTTCTTATAAAATTGATCAACTTGTAGTCATCAATGGAATTCAAAACCCATGTTTTGTCATTTTTGGGTCTTGTCAGCTGGATGTACATGAACTCCATCCTTTCTAATTTATATATCATACTCATTGCACAAATGAATAGTTGTCTGGACTCAATAGCTCAGTGAATAATACGTTAGCTATCTGAAGTGGGAAGTATTAGGTTCGTGTCCTGGTTTGAAAATCAATACTAGGATCAAGGCCAATTCAGTCGATACGTCCCAAATGAAACGAGACAAGCTTCCTAGATTCCACTATTATAAATAAATCCATCTATTCTGCAGATTCATAAAGATTTCCTCTCCTAATCAACTGTTGGATTGAGTCATGTAAATAGATATTGACTACCTGGTCAAGTTTTTGGCGATTATTATCACTACTGGTTGAATATATTGAGTGACATAAAACAGAACTAGTCATAATGGCAAAGATGCATATCCAATCTTTATCTTCTGTAATATGAGATGTGACATAATATACATTTTCTATAACTATCTCTTAATCAATTTCTTTCAAATTTATATTTTTATAAAGAAGAATACCAAATGTGTGTTGAAATCGGTGTTGAAATGTGCAATTCCTAATAATATCGATCAATCTCGTTTACTTTTATTACCTAAACAACAGATAGATTATTCTATTTAAAGTGTCAATTTCGACCGTAAATATAAATAAAATGTAATCAGACATTGCTATTGGTTAATATTATATAATTGTTTTTTCCCTTATAGTCTATTTTTGTATCAGATATGACACATAAGATTGGTATGTTCTTCTCCTGTCTGTTTCGTCTACTTTTTTTTCTCTCATTAAGTTATATTACTTTGATCAATAAAATTTCCAAATCAACTAGGATTACATTGTAGATATTGAATATCAATTATATGGAGTATTATTTCTCATTCTACTTTATCATTATCATCCAACTGACAAGTCCCAAATAGGACGAAACGTGCGTCTTGGATTCCACTGCTAGCCACTATCCATCTTTGCTTAAATAGCTTATGATTTAAGGCTATATCGCGGCAATCCTCACAGGATGCACATATGCTAGCATGAGACTGATCAATTCCAGTCCTAAATAACAATGGGAAGATACAAATAAAACAACACCAAGTGAATTTAAACTTCACCCCACTGCACAAGCAAGTAGCTATCAGGACTCAGTAGTTAAGTGGATAACGAGATGGCGTTTAAAGCGAAAGGTACAGGGTTGCAGGGATGTAGGTAAATCCAGCTGACGAGTCCCAAATAAGGCGAAAGGTGCGTCATAGATTCCACTGCTAGCCACTATCCATCTTTGCTTTATATACGTGAATTTTCAAAAAAATTTATTCTCAAGGAAATTATCATTGAATATGACAAGAAAATTTTTTCTGGCATCCACAATCCATTTATAGTCACTTAGATTCTAAGCAACAATCATTGGATAGTTTGCTAATTACTATTGAGTTACAAAATTCAAATATCATATTTATTTGATGGAAGGTGTGGTATACTTTAAGAGTTACACACCTTTTATAGGTCTTGGAAATTGTTAAATAATCTGAATTAGAGTAGGCGGTTATATGTAGACTATTTGCTAATAATTATTAAGTATAGTTGATATCTGGGAATTATTATTATTATTATGGACATTTCACATTTTTTTCCCATCAATTTTTCCTTTTTTTGGGACAGATTACGTTGCCGGTAATCTTTAGTGATCTTTAAAATGACTTTCAGAAAATAAAGCTAATTTCTAGCCAATCAAAATACAGGTTATATAAATGAATATTTGATCACGTAAATGCTTGGAAAACAATAAAGTTGGAATTAACATTATGAGTTCTGTTCAACTGTTAGGTTTTGGTCTTGGTCTAGTCATTGGGAATAGAATAGAAGGATGCATTGTAGCAGTGCAGATAAATAGTTATACACTTCTTTGATTTCAAATATCAAGAATATTTAATATACCCTCACTAATTCATAATTAATGGTCACTATTTCCATATTTGTTTATTTTAAGCGTCTAAATTACTAAATATTGATAGATTTTGCTTAGTTCTTACATAGAACTATTTGTTACTACGCTTTGGATTTCACACAAAAATCGAGGAGCCATTGTCTTCCATATAGTCAGTTCCTCAGCAAACTATCACTGATATTTCGTTTGCTCACTTAACCATGAAATCGTATTCTAGTCAGTTTACAGTACTTCATGATTGCTTTTTGGTGTCACCAGTGTCTTATGTCACACGTAAGACTAGGTTAGTCCAAGAGAGTCCCTCGTGTCTTGTAGTAGCTTTGAAAGGTTCGCTTTTACGGTAGGTTAGTAGTTAATACCACTATTCACTGCAATCATCAAGTTCCTTTTTTGTAATTAAGTTAAATTAAACCTTTTTGACGTCATATATTCAGGCAAACAATAAACCAGATCATTGCGTTACGATTGATATAACAATTACATATTCTAACGATGTACGATATCATACAATTTAATCATAACTGTTCTATCTGGACATTAACTGATGTAGATTGATCTTTTGTCATGGAGAGAGCTTTTTACTCTCTCCACAAGAGTTTAAGATCTTGATACAGTTTTGTGTATAGTTCATCTTTAGCTTTGCAAAATAAAAGAAGTTTAGCATTAAGTTGATGGGATAACTAATGACAGGAAGGCAAACGTTGTATATTAGTGAGTAAAAGGTTGGGCTATTGCGAGTTTTTTCTTCTCCTCAAGGTAAAAGATTCAGATTGTATAAAATAAAACCGATCAAGATTTCTAGGACATCCCTAACAGGTTTAACCTGAAGTATTAGGTAACCTAATTCAGCCTCAAACAGGTGACTACTTGCATATATTTTTAAATCTGATACCTAATGTTTCTCTTCATAACCTGTCATCCCATTTGTAATGTTTTCGGCATTTGATTTATTATATCACGGTTTGATCTAAGTTGATTGACCACTGGAAATCAGAAGTCACTAGACATTTATTTCGTTCTAGTTTGGGACCAATTTCAGAAGGTGATTCCCGGGGTTCTAGTGAAAAACCGTGATCAACTTTATCGGGTGTAACAGAGGTAGGTACCCACCAAAGACATTAGAAAATAATTACTGAATATTGGGAGTTGATTGGAGTTAAATATCTCAACTCAATAATCCAAAGTTTGAGTTGCTCACTGTGAGACCTAGAGTTCGTTGGTGTTGTGAATACGCACTGTTGAGTAGTTACATCTTAGGATAAAAAAAGCATATCTAATTTATTTATTATCAAGTGTTATATTATGTTTTTTTTTCAAAAAAATTCTTTTCCAGTTTATTGATGAGAATGTTAGTACTACTACTACTACTACTCCTCCCGCCCTCACTACTAATACTACTGATAATATCAGTCATAACAATGACGAGTCCGAGGTAGACAACAACAATAATAAAAAACAATATTTAGATTTAGATAATAATACTTCACAACTATCATATTTTACTGAATTACAAACACCAAATATTATTTGTTATTTAGATGAACCAATTAATTATTATTCAATAGATAACCCGGTTGATTGAAGAGAACAACAAATTGATTGTTAATGATAATTTTATTTGTTTATTTATTTTTCTTAAAGAAAGCTATTGTGATACGTAATCTTACTTTTTATTTATTTATATATTATATTGATATACTTTTCTTTAATCTATTCATCATTATCACTGCTATCACCAATCATCCATTATCATTTAATATATATATATATAAACTCATTATGTTATGTATGTATGTATGTATGTGTGTATCATGACATTATTTAGGTATGAATGTATTTTGAAATCTATTTAATTTGTGCAATATAATGTAAGAGTACGATACAGATGAATATACTTGTCTTGTCTTGTCTGTGTTTCAGTTGTTCTAAAGAGTAATATCCAAAGGGGTTTTTGTGGATATGATAGTAATTTCAATAATTGAGATCATGAGTCAGTTAAAGCTAGACCACCATGAAAAACCTGGAAGCATTGGATGGTCGTTTCGTCCTAGTATGGGACTCTTCAGCAGTGCACATCCACGATCTCGCCTCCCCCTCGCAATATTCGAACCGAGTACCTATCAGTCTCGCGCGCGAGCGCTTAACGGTGTTAATGTTTAACTTCAACTAATCCACGAAATTGAGCGACACATCCACCATTGTCATCATTGACTGATAGGTCCTGGGTTCGAATCTCGCTGGAGGCGAGATCGTGGATGTGCACTGTTAAAGAGTAGTGTTTGTTTTGATACGATACAGGTATTATCAGTTTAAGGTGGATTTTTACACGTAGATTTGCATACTTTTAAATATTTTCAAAGAATAGGGTGTATAGATGCTTCTATTGAATTCAATATATGAATAATCAATTGGATAGTCAAAATACAAAAGAGATCACATATATATGTTCGATGCTCTCTTTAAAATAGAGAGGGTGTGTGTGTGTCGATCGTCGTCCATAACTTAATTGTTTCATAGCATCAGGTTAAGTATTTGTTGAGCTGATTGGTGGATATGAAATACTCCAAAATAAATAGATGAAATGGTTTATATATCTGACTGAGATTAGTTATAAAGTACGTTACATCTACTTAGCCAAGCATCAGTGATCAATTGAAGGGATCCATCTTTTATTTTACAAACTTATTTATTTTAACACATAAGTATAGGTACAGGGAGGCACCAAATACATATGCGCCACATAAATCTCAATTGATTTGTGTGAGGGCTGTGATACTGCCCGGGTGCCCAAACCGAAGCAGGTGGTTTTCTTAGGGGGCCACACCCCGAGCCTTCAACCTGAACGTCTGACCCACAAGGCAGTGGAGCATCGTAGGGAGATGCAGTCCCATGGTAGCCGGTGACCAACGAATGGTTCATACGCCATTTGTTCCCGCAGGATACTGGATCCCATGTGCACCATTGATTTGGGGTCCGGTTAAAGCGCCGGACATTCGCTTTTCGTCCTCTCATTTTTGTAAACAACACCCCCGCCACGAGAAGGCAGTGAGTAGGACTTCCCTGGCAGAGGCTATATACGCGTGGCCATGTGAGAGCATTTTTCGAGGGAGAGCGGACTCTCCCCACTCTCGGCCGTACCAGGGCATTTGTTATATGGGCTTAACATACCACCGACACTACAAGTTTGAAATCACAAACTGATCCTATCTAGATCATCATTGGGAAATTGAATGATCTAACTATGATCAGCTCACGATTTCAAATTATGAAAATTCTACAATCTCTACAGATCACTCTCTTCTAATAATATTGAACTGGCAATAATTTAGAAATAGCAAAGCGTATGACAATAACTACTTGGCCAAACAAATTCGTATAATTGAGTAATGATGAAAATACAAAGATTTAGGTATTTAATGGTTTTTCAATAAAAGTGTGGGTACTAATTTCCTATTGAACAGTCCCATAAGTATCACTTTACCGATTATTTGACCTAATTGGTCATAAGATGAACGGCTTAATGTTTTAAGTTGGTTACATACATTCACCTGTTCGGTAAATAAACGTAGCTAAATCAAGAATTAAGAAATATTTTAGCTAAGAAAAGTATTTGACTATTTCTCTGTTCAAGAAAAAAGCTAAACGTAGAAAAATCTTAACGATCCTGATTGAGAATAATACTTCCGTACCAAATCGATCTACAACTTCTGGAAATGTTTATAAAACAGATTGGCTACTGATAAAAGATTAAGTAGTATACGTTTTAGCGTTCAAAATGTTGAAGAAACACTCAAGTATCCAACACTTGTGTATATTGAAGACTCCATGTATTATTTTGTGAATGTCTTTCGAATTATGTGATCTTCGTAATTCCTTATTAGGAAATGTATTTGGCTTATTCAATATTGGTAATCTAATCTTGATATGTGTGATTTTGTTTTACGATTACGTATAGTATTTTAAGTCTATCAAGTGAATGTTGAATCCAAAGGTTCATCTAATAGATTCTTGAAAATATAGAACGCGATTGATTGATTGATTACTCATACGATACTTCAATATTTATTCAGTACAAAGTCAACGAATCCTTAACACACTGAAGAAGTTCAAAAAATATTCTTAATAAATCTTATTAGATAGAGTTTTGTTCTGTGAACTGGATAGTTTGGTCATGGAGCCTTCATTGTTATCATCATCGAAATTATTCACCTGAGCTACAAATCTCCACCATCTCAAAATCCGATTAGAAATTACCTTGTTACTATTAAATCTCATTTTTTGAGTTAAATAACTAATATAATGTTAGATATTTCAATGTCATTTTTGTCCAAGTTCTGATATGTCTATGAGTTTGCAAGGATAACTTTGAGGAATTTGAATATCTTGAACTAACCATCTCTCTACTTTATAGCTCTAGCTACTACGAAAAATTATCTTTTCAAGAATATTTATTTAAAGATACCAAAGGGTATTGATGTATTTTTAATTTAATTCCATAATATATTGATTAATCGCAATGATTGACCACTGGGTTAAAAGAAGCTTGAGAACCAATTAGCATTAAAAACTTAGGTGTTGTTCATCAGTATTTGTGTCGTTTGATAAGGTCAGCTGTCCTAGTAACAATAAAAGAGAACTTACGTACAGTTGAATCGTACAGTACAATCGTTACTACAATAACGGGGAGATCACAGTGTTCCCAAATAAAATCCAAGAATCTTTTTCTTTACACATCGTTGCACTAGTGGTTTGAGCATTTCTAATAGCACCATTTTGAATGAGAATTAGAATTATCAATGTTGATTCTTAATTTGTGGTATTGTAGTGAACGAGAACACCAGTGGGGACAACCGAATGTATTCGAATACAACATTAATGAATCTCTTAATAATATTTGAGAACCACACCAATCACCCTCTGTTCTCGTTCTCTTTTCTTCGATCTTCTTAACCTTTACTACCAGACACCCGACATTCGACTGACGATACATACTACTTATATCTATCGACATCAGTAGCACACACCACAGTATACACAAAAAACGTGGATTTTTAATTGAAACTACTGTCGGTAAAAGTCTACTTACGAATCGAGCTAATCAAAATCGATATTGCAGTTTTTGAATTTTTGCGCAGAATTTAAATATCATATATGATTAGTAGTAAGATACATTTGAATACTACTCAAAAGATTTAAATCAGTAGGGAAAAATATTTTTGCAAACATTAAAATGAAAATGATAGTGTCAAATATATCGAATGCTTAATTCTATCTCTTTGGATTGTATATAACAGAGGAATAGACAATATGCCCTATTCCTAATCTTAAATACTTACTTCAGAAACAAAGATTAATCTGGTGGCATTGAGTTTTACAAATGAAGTGATCGACTAGCGTTTCTTGGATTTTTGAAGAAAACTGATTCATCCATATAACTATACAGCATATATACATCATAGCTGATATCATTTAGTGATTAAAAATCCCAATCCTAAATCCCGAACCTCATCTAGGAACAATGTAAGGACTATTAATAAACGTTTTAGATCTCTATAAGGGTTTCGAGATTCACAAACTATTGTTCGTCATTTATTTGGATCTACAAACAGAGTACTTTATGGGAGATATTAATGAGTTCTTGTTCTTTTCGATAAACAATCCATTTAGGAAAGCTGTTTTCTAGTCGGTCAAGAACTGACTGGGACTTTATTGTGGTTGTTTTAAGCTCGTCTCTAACGTATATATATATTGTTTACTGATTTCTCTTGTGATTTCAATGCAATCCAGTACTTATTACTGAAGTGACCAAGTCATACTTTATTCAAGCTAACCATGATATTCATGGGAGCTTGGAAATGTCAACCTTTCCTTTTATTGAATATATACTATATGAATGTTTAAGGTGATTAAACTAAACTTTAATATTTAATTTTAAAGTGTCAGCTTTAAATAAACAAAACTTGACTTAGATATGTGTCCACCGACGTTGCTGGCATTCACACAATGACACTGAGATGAAGTTAATCAAATGATGATTAAAGAAATTGAAATATTAATGTTATACATAAGAGATTGAATACGTAAGGTGAATGAAAACAAAATGGATATTCTGAGACATTTATGAATAAGAGAATAGCCAATAAAAGAAAGCATAGAGAATGCCTAACCGTGAATAAAAAGCTTCTGTATATGTGCTTACAATTCAGAGGCGATGCACCTAGGGAGATGCTAATACTGAAATTAAGAAGATCAATCCAAAGAACTTTCAATGTAGGTAAACCAAAACTAATGTTTTCCACACGTCCAGCAATCACTCCGAGGTCGAAAGATTAATTGCCTAGACTAGCCACCTCTTTCTGTGTCCATCAATTCAACTGCTTCTGTGGAGCATGTTATATTGGCAGATGTTCTAGGAATTTATATATTTGGGCTCATGAGCACCTCCCAGTGTGGTTAAGCAAAGGCGTAGTCAAAACGGTTATCAGCTATATTTTGGCCCATTTAATTCAGACATCATGGAACAATCTTTCACAATAATATATCGTGTTAAGAGCAATCTACCTAATTCTATCAGAATGAGAATCTTGCAGGCGGCTGAAGAAATTGCTATTCGGATCAGAAAGCCAGAGTTTTGCATTCAAAAGAAATATGTTCAGTCGTCAAGAAGTTTCAACCAACTTACTAAGTGTTAGAATGTTAGAAGACGATGGCCTGTTTGAATATCTGGGCTACCTATTTATGTCATCTAGATATTTCAATAGGTTATATGTTTTATTGTTACAAATGCACTCAATCAGAGATATCGTGGTTACTGGCAATATACAGTGGAAAGAATGTACTTTATTCAGATATCGATTCCTGAACTGCTAACATCTAACTGGCAACCACTGAATAGTTACCGTCTGGATCGATCAGGAAATAAGCATCAGAAACTTGTTGAAATACTTTATGCTGAGAATTTTATTTCGTACC